TTATCATTAATGGTACCAGTATCACAACTAAGAGGCAACTAATGTGTGCCATTTCATGAGACTTCAGTGTGTGTTTTGAACACCGTCCATTTTGTGGTTAGTTATCTCAGTAAGGTGTTCGGTGATCATTATGACTGGTTTGTTGTTTAGGGATTTTTTTGTGTGTGTGTGTGTCTTTTTTGACCAATACAGTTCAGGCTTGTGCAATAAATAGTAATTAAAAAAAGAAAGAGATAAATGATAACTTTTCAATGAGTGTTGATGTATTTTTTCAGACTTATCCAGGTAAACGCACAATAATTTAACTGTCATCAGTGACAGAGACGTTTTGCTCATTTAGTTTACATAAACATACACAAGAACTTAAAAAGCAGATGTAATACAGACATTATCCCTGAGCTATTCTGAGAATTGTTAGCGCCCCTGTCCAAGGCACAGGCTTAAGGCCTGCAGCAGGTACCTGGGTGCTGCACTGCGGACACCCACAGCTTATAAATATTTAGGTTGGGTCAAATGCAGCATTGTTTCTCCCAAGAGGGATTTATGAAGCATACAGTATGGATGTGGTGCAAAAATAATCAACATAATATCAAAGAATATGACACAGAATACAGAAAAGTGATGGACATTTAGGAAAGAAATACAGTTCTGTATGTGTAAGTGGGAAATCATGAGATGACAGTGATTTGCAGTACAATGTGCAGAGACTGACTGCTTCCTCATATGCAATATTATAGAGATAAAACTGATGACATGGGAAAGTGGAGGTACAGTATCAGTCTGGTCCATCCCTCACATGGGCCATAACAGCTTCATTCAAGAAGATAAACATGTCAGGAGGACCAGAAGCCATAGACATAGCCATGTTCTGCAAAGCCATTGCCCCTAGTCATGTCCATCAAAGTGATGGCTGATCAGAGAAATGATTGCCTGTCCACATGAGACATAACTCAGCATGTGTCCAACAATATGACAGTGTTTATGACAACTGCAGTTTGTTGTCTGATTTGTTCAAAGGTAGCCATTTAGAAGACGAATGTTATGGTATTCGAAGGTGCTTAAAATAAAATTTATGGGCTTTGCAAAACACCAATCAGCCACAAAATCAGTCAGAAATATGTGAATTTTCAAAATTGTTGTGATTTTTATTCGGTCATGTGTTGAATAAATGTTGCTGTTGCAATGTTAGTGAAGTGGAGTCAATGCAGAACTATTTGTTGCAGTGCACACAGCCATAGAGTGTCCAGCTCCACAGCCAATGAGAAGAGGTCTGAGACCAGGCATGTGCCGAGGGTGAAAGACGTCAGTCTGTGAACCATCTCCACACATTCCGTGCTCGTTCCAGCCCCAAGAGAAGAGACACCCCTCTGAAAAGGAGAGGGGTTATTGGTCAGTGGAGCTGACACAAAAGAGATGTGGCTGTATCGCTGTTACATGTAGGCTAAAAATTAGCAGCTTGGAAAAAAACGGCCGGGTGCGAAAAACAAAAACAAAGCATGTAATCCGACACACACAAACATACACACAGCATCTCTGTTCCTAACACTGACACTGGACCAGCAATAAAAGCCTCCCTGCTCTTCGGGGCTGGTGAGCTTGTCAGTGGGTGTGGTCAGGTCCGCATCACCGAGGAGACACATGCCATGGCAACACAGTTACCTAACAGGCTCCAGTGCCATGGCAACAGAAGCGAGCTTGCTCTCTCAAGGATAACAAATCTTCAAGCTTTCCCCATCCTGCAATTGTGTGTCTTTCATGCCATCTTTTCATTAATTTCATTGAGTGGTTTCTTTGTCTTTCTGTGTTTTTTAGCTTCTCTCCAAAAAACAGCAGCATCAGAAATTTAGATTTGCCAACAGAAACATATGCCTTCATCAGTTAACACACCAAGATATCATGCCAGCAGCTTATGTCAGTGTGACATTGTGCCAGATATGACTTATGCATTAACAATACAGTATGTAGCCCTATATTTAAAATACAACAAGCACCTATAACTGGATTGTATTTGTCTTCATCTTTGATTAGGGTTAGTTGGTAAATAATGTGGTTTTCATTCAATAGTAAACTTAATCTGCTAAAATGTTTTGTTCATTGGGGAAAAGAATCTTATTTTGATGCTGCGCTTAATTCATGGACTCACTGACTGGAGTACAGCACATCAGTGTTTCCATGACAACAAAGTGCCTGCACAATATTCTACACAAAAAAGAGACACTCAAACCAAAAGCCATTTACTGGTTCAGAGTTTCATAGTTTAAAATTTCACACTTAATTAACAGCAACACAATCTGCAGTAGACACCTTTTTCAATGTGACATAATACTACAAGTAGGAGTTAAAACTGGATCTGGTGTTTGTCCTTAGACATTCCCGTTAAGTGCACAATGTTCACATTAAAAATAATCTCTCCTCAGATTGGATGAGCTATGCCCACTGCGTCTTTGGCCTATCTCCCACCTCTGACCACCGATGATGAAATTCATACACAAGAAGCACTTCCTCATGGGGAAAAGGGGAAAGGGCTGAACAGATATAAGCAGCATGCAATGCTCTCCGTTCCTTTCTGCCTGACCTACTTCAGCACCAGAAATAGCAGCACTCGGGTCTCTGCTTCCAATCTTGTTTTGCTATTTCATTGCTCCTGCCACCGCGCTTGAGACGGGAGGATGAAAAGAGGAGAGCAGAGAGCAAAGAGCAACCTTCAGGAGGTTCACATGAGTCCTGCTCTCTCATTACATAACTGAACTTCAGAAAGCACAGAGCAGGGCTTTGTGAGAACTGTCATTTAAATGTCCGCCTCAACAATTTTCCTAAATAAAATGGCACATGCAGTTTACTGTTTAAATGGGTCAGGACATCAAAGGTGGATGGCCATTTGTTTGTAGAAATACAAGCAATGTTCAGTTTCTCCTTACTAATAGAACACTTTGTATTTCAGTGATCAAATGCAGTATTCACATTCATGCTGATGTAAAAAAAAAAAAAAAAAAAAAAAAAAAAATAGGTCAGTGTTCAAAATTCAATGCAAAAGACATTACTTCCAAAATATTTTATAGTGCTGGTGACTATGAGAAAGCAAAAGACTCTTGGAAAGCACATATACTCTCTTTATAAATCTGATAATGGATCACAAACACTCAGATGTGTCTGTGTTTGTTTAATATTTTTTTTCATGAATGTGTGTGACTGCAGTGCCTGTGTTCTATTCTTATACAGATAAAGGGAGATTGCTCTCTAAATATTTGACTGGAAAACAATGACTATAAATGTGTGTGTGTTTAATTGAGCTCCTTTACAGGCCTGTTCGGGTAATTGCTTCTGTCAGTGATACCCATCTATCCATGCTGTAATTACTTCCTGATGCAAAGGCCACAGAGCAATGAGCTGACCTGAGAAATTCTCTGCAGCATTAGCAGAAGGATTAATATTTCAGACTGATGTTAAACTGTAATGTATTAGACGGTTCCCTTACTAATTTGTGGGTACAGAGAGGAGGATGACTTCAAAGTAGTTTAGCCTCACCTATGTGTATTCCCTTTTCCTTTATGCAGTCAGAGCCAGAGTCATGTCAGGACAGAAACGTCTCTTGTTTCAGCCACATGCACTTACTGAAACTATTAAGTTCAAACTACAGTATTTTTGCTTTACTTCTCAGAAACCTCTCTTCATCAATATACGCTTCCAGCGTAGTTGTATACTGTCTGATGTTTATGCTTATCGATTTTCTCTCAACATTACAGGTTCAGCCAATGGCACATAAGGCAGATTTTTAAATCCACATAGAAAATGAGCTAAATGAGGAAATGAGGAATGTGTTGGTATTTGTGAAGGAATACACTCACCTACAATGGCAAGATTATGTTCAGATCCACAAGCAATCTATAAAGAAAACCAGTTGAAAAGGTTTAAAATCCACGTTGAAAGCACACAGACCATTTTAAAGCTGTAATATCCAGGACATGTTTTGCCACCACAGATACTGAGATACTCTGCAACCAAACCTGCTCTAAAAATGTGAAATAAAATTTGATATAACAAGATGAAGTCATCCAACTTTTATTCAATACTGCATACAGCATGAGTGGGCCCAACACAGATAACACTGACAATGATTTTGACAGTAAATACTAGAAAACTACAGGAACTGAGGGGACAAATTAGACACTTCAATATAAATCACACACCCCACAGTACATTATCAGAAAGCATAGCAGTCAACTGCAGCATACACTCAGTTGGCAGTTTATTAGGTACAACTACACTGTAGCTAAAACTAATGCTAATGCAGTCTGAGCTAACAGTCTGTCGATGAATCCTCCCTTCACAAAGGTGATAATGTTCAGTTGTTGTTGAAATTTTTTTTTTTAAGTTCTGATTCAACTGTGTGATCATTTTGGAAGCTGCAGTTTGTGCAGCAGTGGAACTGTATTGCAGTATAATGACATGTGCTTCTATTATTTTGTCCATGAGGCTAGGCTAAGTAACAAAGACACCAGCTTATTCATAAACACTAAAACCCTGTGCTGTGCTGTCTGGGGGGGTTAATGTAAATGTTTCAGGATGGCTGCATGGCCCTGCTTTTGCTGACCAAAAGCTTTTACATTTAATGGCCCTTTAGCCATGGACTTTCCCTTTCATTGCTGCTACAGGAATTAAGGAAACAAATTTAAAATCTGATCCTGACCTCCAAAGTGCTCTGCGAGAATAAAAATATGCCAATTTAAAGTGCTATTGTTTTCCAACTAGTGGCAATGTGGGTTTATATGTGCAGTGTCAGGATGACTAACATGGAGCTGGGCAGTGAGATTCACTGTCCACTCAGTTAATCCATCTTGCCTTTAGCATTAAACACACAAGGGGACTATGCCTCTTAACACAGTGCTGCTGCAATGACCTGTGCACAGTACAATGATCCAGAGCTTGGCTTTGCCCCTGACATCCACCTTATTGGAAACCCATTTTCCAACATGCAGCTGCCATTGGACTGCAGGTTAACTAATACAATCCTGTGATGCCCTTATGGGAGAATAGACCGCTCTTATCACTAAATATAAGTGGTTCTCACCAAGTGGAAGATGCTGGAAGTGTGAGTGTGTGTGCTTTACACTCTAGATGATGATGCAAATAATTAAGAACCCACTTTGTCACTGAGCCTTGCTCTTATTCATTAGCACTGTTTCTCCTCAAACAAGCTTCAGATGCCTTTTATTTGTGGCTCTCTGCTGCCCCCTGCTGGACTGACATTTTCAGAAAACACAAGGTTGGCGGCCACACTAGGAAGAGCCCATAAAATATATAATATTATCACATTTCATTGTTACTGGTATTTGTCCTCTGGGCCTTTCATCCAGCAGAAGTGCCAAAACACTCAGACATATTACCTGAGATGCTCCACTGAGGACTTCAACCTCTGCAGGGAGGAAGGCCTCCTGGTTTTCACCTTCTGCTAAACGACCAGCAGACTTCTTCTCCATGCTCTGACTAGTTGATGCTTGCCGGCCCAGCTGCCCATAATCTCTTCTGCCCCATGTGAACACTCTCCCACTCTCTGAAATGGATGATGACCTTGTTCAGATAGGGCAGCTTTCCTTTAATTCCTGTTCAAACTGGTGAGCAACAACAGAGGTATTATATTTTACCTGTTTGAGCAACAGTGTGTGTCCAGCCACTCCACACATTTATAACTTTCTCTCCATCCAGTAGTGAGCGCTTCAGAAGCGTGGGAGAGGGCAGGAACGGCTCTGTGGTGGACAGTTGGCCATGCTTGTTACTTCCCCACAGAAACAAATCACCGTCTTCTGCACACATGACAGGAGCAACATGACTCTTCATCCAACAAAGGCACCAGCAGAAAAGTAGAGCAGCATCTGAGTGGTACTGTTCAACTAACTACAAGACAGAAGGGAGCCCAGCCATAATGATATATGGACATGAAGTCACTAGTACAACCTGAAAGTGCAAATACTCCCTGAAGAACAACAGTATGAAATACAATACATATTTGCTTTTAAATTGTAGCTTTTCCTATGTTTGTCTTCTGCTCTTTACTGTATGTAATACATTGACCTTATACACAAATGTTGATTTTGTTCTAAGCAAAGAGCTTCCAGGTTTCTTTATATTGGATTACACTATGGGCATTTTTATCTAGTTCAAATCACTTGAATTACCATATCCAAAATCAGACTGCTAAATGAAGCTTTGCTTTTTTACACCTCGGGCTAACAAATTCAGCTCTTCTGCTGCCTTCCAGGTAATTCCAGACTTATGTGAATATTTTTTAGTCAGTGGCTTATTTAGATGTTAAATAAAACCACATTTAACATGAACACAGCATAATGACACTGTGTTAATGTCATACCTGTAAGACACACACAGTGTGCTGATCCTGCAGTTACCAGGTGAGATGTTTTCTTATCCAGACCTGAAACATGAGTGCAAATATTTGTCACATTCATCAATAATCAAGGGCATATGGCATAAAAACTTGCACTCTGTAGCTTCGTTAAGCACAGTTTTACTTACCTGGTACTAGCAAGGGCACCTTAGAGCTGAGGTGTGATGGGACGGGGTGTGGACTGAGTGCTCTCTTAGCCTGACTGAAAAGACCAGTGCCCCACTGATACACACAACCTGAGTCTGAAGGCAGAAGATAAAATTAGTATTTGTGCCCTGACTGTCAAATGAATACATACTGAGGACAGCTGCATGGTGCTAACTTACCAGTAACAGCTAGTGAGTGTCTAAGTCCTGCTCCTACACTCACCACTAGCTCCTTCAGACACTGAGAACAAATAAGCACAATGGCATCTGCTCCAAAGGGACTCATCAAACTGATCATGTGGTGAAGCTGGTTTGTATCAAATTTGGTCATTCTTGACTGATTAGATAAAGGCATGGCAGCCATTAGAGTGGATATATTGCATTCCATAAAATAAAGCCTGACCAGGTGCTCACCTCAACAACCAGTATATCTGCAGAGTGTGTGATTGTTGGTCCAACACCCAGCTGTCCAAATGCATTGGAGCCACATGCCAGTACCTGACCACAATCTGTCAGTGAGATATTAAAAAAACAACAAATAATCATAAAAAACACTAATAGGTGGAAGGTAGCTCCATGTTTTCTCTGTCATTTCCATTTTTAACAAACCTTTGCTATGAGTTCTGTTTAACTCCCTTGGGAAAAATCTGCAGGCCTGCGGATATACTGTACAGAAACACCAGCTGTTTTTACCTAAAGGACAGAAACAGTCTGCATGGTCTGCTCTAGTCTGCTGTCAGGGTAAGATGCAGCGCATCTCAAACAAACCAATAAGGAGGGCAGAAAAGAGTACTGGCAACTCGGGAGAAGTGCAGGTCCCGGTGCTGTAGAAGTGCCAGCACTGTGTATTAGTGCATACCAGCCCACTTCAAGCAGTACCCTGAAGGATAAACAAAATCTCCTCATATTGATCCATCATACCTGCCTAGGACCATGTGAGACAATTCACCTGCCATCTCCTTCTGAACCTAGTGCACATGTAAAACTGAGTATCACTTTCTGGCCTCAAAAGTTGCTCACCAGTGAGAAGTAGAGTAAAATCCCAACCACAGGCTACATTTGTGACCTTCTGATTCAGGCTGGGGCAGAGCTGAAGAGCCAAGATGTCTGCATTATGGCCAAGTCCCAGCTGGCCTCTGTGATTCTGTCCACACACAAACACCTCTCCACTCTCTGTCCAGCAAAAAATAAATCACAAACATTTGGAGAACATGCAATATGCAGGATTTTATTACATTTAGAGAGAACAATAGCTGTAGTTCATGTTATGTAATTTTTTAAAACAAAGTAACTGATCTGTTGTATGGAAAAACATATATTACACACAACTGGTCCAATCAGAATTATACGTATTAAAACTTGTCTTGCAAACGTCAACAAATCATTTATTTGACCAGCAGGGGGCGCCACATGACCTCTGAAAACTTGTTCAGAGTAGTTTGTCATCTACTAGGCGGACTGAGGAATGTATTTAAGAGGTAAAGTGCAAAATGGAGAGCAAATAGTAACCTACCGGTAACGACTACGGAGTGACCCCCGCCGCCGCTGAGAGTCCGGACTGCCTTGTTCTGTAAAGCAGTGAGGTCACAGAGCTGAGGCACTGACTGGTCCTCCACATGTCCCAGTCCCAGCTGCCCGTAGCTGTTAGCTCCCTGACATAAACAGTATTAGTCACTAAGTGTACAGGACACCGAGGCAGCTAACACTAGATTAACTCTGGTAATGCTCAGCTAACCGTTAACCAAGTCTAAGGGCTGACTTGTTTCGCTGTACTTTTAGCTTTATTATGTCGGAGCTAACCAAGTTCAGCGCTAAGCTAACGTTGAGTAGTGTTAACAATGTCAGAAAGTGAAGTGTCACTCTGCTGGTGGTGAATACTTGAAACTGATAAACGATATACCTAGACACAGAAGAATCAGACTTTAACGGTGAAGGTAACGACCTTACCCAAGAGTGTAAACAAAACTCAAGTCGCGAGCTCGTTTCCATGGAGTACCAAGGCTTAGTACGATTTGCGACACTGTCGTGAAGCAAACTGCTGGGAGGTTGTGTGTATGTGATGCTCAGAAATGAAAGAACAATTGTGGTACCCATTTTACAAATTGGGAACCCTGTTTCACTGTATTAATGTCTTACTATGTATGACTGCACAAGATCATAACATTACTTATTAGAATATGATATGCCAGTTACTTCATAAAATTAATAACTGCAGTCTTTATGGTTTGAATCTGTCATGCTAGAAGAGGAATTTCCACAACCCAAAAATCTGTAAAACACTATAGTAAGTGATTTTCTTGAACATTAATTACAGCTTATAAACCCTTTATAAGTCTTCATTGCCATCATTTTGCATCGCTATAAACATCATCAGCTTCATCGTCAGCATCCATTATCCACAACCAAATCTCTGAGATGACACCAAAAAGTACAAAGTCAGCAGGTAACAAAGCATTTTACACGCTGTGAAGACTGAATGAACACTTTTATTTTTTTTAATAGTTTAATACATATGCTATTAAATGATGTCTGTTTTTTTACAGTAGAAAAATAATGTTTTCAGGAGTACTATAGTTATTTTCACTTCAAGAGGAGGTATTCAAATTCATCATTTTAAAATAAAATAGATGGGCCAAATCTATCATAATCAGTCAGGAAAATGTTCTTTTAACACCAGTTTTCACTTTCATAATTTCGGCACACAACAAGGAATGTTTTACACACACACACACACACACAAAAACAAAATACTAACAAAGCACATTTTATACATATCACTGATGTCAGGGAGCTGAAATGTGAAAGAAATGATTTACAAAAAATTCACATGATCATGTATAACAGCAGTTGATAATAGGAGTTAAAAACCACATCTGTGTTTGTAACAGCTGGGGATGCCCACATTAAACTCCAATTTAGCCAAGTACAAAGCAGTGTCACCAATTAAGCAGCTCTTTGGGTTTGCAGAATGTACTGATATCAGTGGCTAAACATACCTAATGCACTGCTGAAAATTGTATATGACATAAACCGTGCAGTAGGGACAACAGAGCATTTTGCCAAAAGCAGTGCACATTCATTGCAACTAACAAAGGGCAACACACAAGCGGGATCTCTGCAGAGGTGTTTGGGGATGACACGACAAGTTGTAATGCCCGGCAGGTAGTTAACGTAAACTGGAATTTGGGCAGTCAGACACCCAGCTGCTTGTTCAGCCGGCTAAGGGCGTCACCAATGATGTCAAGCTCGTGCTGGAGTTCTTCCACAACGCTGTTGATGCTGGGAGTGTCTTTTAGCACATCTACACTCTGGGTGTAGGGGTTGTATCGGACTGTGAAGGGACGCTTGATGGTCTTGGCAAATTCCCTGAAATTGACATTATATTATCGTTGCATAATATTTTGTAGATATTTAATTGTATGTTAAAAACAATGTGGCTTGTGGATAATCGTATTTAGATTCCTTATGTTAAATTAGTATTAAGATACTGAGCAACCAAGCTCACCTCATCTTGACTTTGGCCTCCTCAAAACTGTCTGACACAAAGTAGACATCCTGAAATGTTGTGATGATGCATTCTTGTTTGGATGTAACTTTGGGGTCAAAAGGCATTATCCTTGCATTACCGGAGAGTGCGTGCTATATGAAAGCAACACAGAACAGATGTTGCAAACATTGTACTCAAACAGTTTGGTCGTTTTGTATTTTATTTCATATCAAAGAGAGCTTCAATAGGAAAAATCATGTAGTTCTTTTACCAGCATAGATTTCATCAAGATTATCAACAGAAAAGCTCAATTATAACCAAAGCGGCACAAGTAAGACTGTGTTAAGGTGTCCGTTGTATAGCAGTGCTCAAATGTGTTTACCTTAAGCTCACTGATAGATGACAGCAGTCCTGCCCCATATGCTCGCAGCTGCCCTTCTTGTTTACACAGGCCAAACTCCACCGTGAAGAAATAGCACTGCATGGCAGGAGAGAATAACAGAAAGAAATTATGATGTTTATTCTGTATTTACTAACTTTGAATTTCAAGTTTGTCTATGTGAATGTCACTCACTGTGGCCAGTTTCTGAATGGAGTCATCAGAGGCCCCAAGTGAAACAAGACCAATCTCCTGAGAAAACTGGGCAAAGCTGGGCTCTGCTAGCAGTGGGACATGACCCAGCAGCTCATGGCATGTGTCTCTACATGGTAAAAGACCACTGAATATTAGGTCTAACATCAACGTATGAACATGTATATGTATGTACAGTAGTAATGTATATTACTCACGGCTCCGGGGTGTATAATGGGTCGGAGCTGTGCCGCACATACTGGGTACAGTGAAAAACACGGAAGGCCAAACCAGCAAGGAAGTCACGAGGGGACAAATATCCTGCCACAGGCCTGATGGTAAATCCAGTACGTTCTGAAAAGAAAAGAAAAGCGTTGAAAACTGGGGAAATACATACAAAAGCTCACTTCAACCATTGTATATATTACAAAAAAGAGCGATAAGAATTGTGCATAAGATGGGGTACAGGGATCACACCAATGGAGCTTTCATACAGTCTAAATTGTTAAAATGTTTTGATTTAGTGGGATATAAGACTGCTGTGTTTATGTATAAAGCCAGGAACAATTTATTACCTGGGGGAATTCAAAAACTATTTAATGAAAGGGAAGGGGGGATATAATTTAAGGGGTCAGTTAAATTTAAAAATTCATGTTATACGTACAACCAAAAAAATTTTGGTTTGATTTTGTATTTCCACAAGTGGGGTAAAACTATGGAATAATTTAAGGTATGTGTCAATCAAGATATATGCAAGAACAGGCTTAATGATTAATTAGATGGAACATTGTGGGTGTGGTGTATGAATGTTAACACTTTGTAATAATTCTTTAGTATATTACTTGTGTGGTGTAGAAGAGAATTATTTAAGAATGTAATTATGTAAGAATGTTAACACTCTGTTATAATCTTTTAGTATATTACTTGTGTGGTGTAGAACAAATTTATCTATGTAGAGATACTGCTTGCAAACCAATGATGGTAAGATGATGTTATGGGGTAGGACTAGATAAGTCTGACTTCTTCCTGCCCCGTTCAAGCATGTACTAGGTATAAGCAAATTGAAAATGGATTAGCACTTGTGGATATGTGTGAAATTATGTGTGTTGACATATCGACTGTCTTTACATGCTTGAAAGAATAAATCAAATCAAATCAATTAAATAAAATCAAAGATAGGACATTTATAATTACATTTACACAAGTGAAACAATTAGCAAAGACGCATTGTTTTATTGAGGAAATCACATCCTACCCTTGAGGAAGCGTGAGACATCTTCCAGCTGAGGGATGTTGTCCTCCCGACATTCACAGTATTTAGACAGCAGTGGCAAGTTCTTCAAGTATTCCCGGCAGGCATGGGTGGGGTACAAGTTGTTGAGCTCTCTGTACACAACACCCCAAGTCTTCACCTCCTCCTCTGTGAACTCAACACGAGGAATGGGATCCCCACTGGAAATACACAACAAAGTCTCTTAAATATCAAATAAAAGCAGATTTCAGAAATCATTAAATAATATACAACAGAAACATACTGTTTGTAGGCCATGGCAAGATCAGCAAAGTACTTTCTCCTTTTCCGGTAGACATTATCCTTGAAACCCTGATGGAGAGGAACATACAAATAAGACAGTGCTTCAGATTAAAGGAGCCTGCATTTAAAAGTCACCCCAGACAGGTTTTTTTTTGGCCTACATACTGGGTGGTCAGCATCCAGCTCTGAACCATACATCAGGACACGGTTAGCACACTTGTCCAGATCTGAAATTGTTTTTGGGAACCAGGGTACATTACACATATCTGAGAAGAGAAGAAGAAAATAGTTATTACTGTTAATCAGGTTTATGATGTTCTAGCAGCTTTTCATTCAAGTGCTTTCACACCTTCCTCTTGTAGACAGGAGTTATCTGTAGGCTCCATGTCCACGGCATTCACATGCTTCTGAAGCAGCTGGATGATTTCATTCAGTTGTTCGTGGTTGCTGTCGCAGTCCACAAATATCTCAAACTCAGAGTTGCGTCTTTTGGATTTCCTGGACTCTATGTGTACAAGGTTGACATGGTTTTCCTGCAAGACACAATAAGAAACCTTTTAAAATTATGTGCCTTTGCTTTATTATCTGTAAGTCAACTTGTGTAAAATCCAAAATCTATTGACTGAATAAGTCAAAGGTAAACATTGATAGATAATTAAGAACTGAAATTATACTTGTAAAAGTTTGAGTGCCTTCACAAGTCCCCCCACTTCATTCTTGAGGGAAAAGATGATTGTTGCTCTCCCTTTTTCTGGGCTATTCTTCTTTTCAGTGTTTTCTTCAATTTTTGTGAAGGTTGATTTGTTTATCTGAAAATAAAGTAGAGATTTAAAATATTGTATATTTTATTCTCAAATGTTTAGAAACGTACACCTGTAGAATTATACCCTAAAAGTAAAGAACTGATGCAAACACATTAACTTATTTTAGAGATGTGGTATGAACAATGATAAAAACAACTTTATCGCAAATTACCATGCTCTGTGCTGCATAGTTTCCGTAATTAAATTAGGCTTCAAAATTGGATTTATACAAAACTGGAGTCAGCTCCCACAGTGTGTTTCCCGGGATTGAACCACAGCTCATTCAGGTAATGACGTGAGTGCACAACTTCTATTCACCTAAGAACATCTCACCATCCAGCAATCCTGTGAGCATCTAATCTTATGAATCTGCATCAATAGCAACATGTACAGCAGTAAGCCTGTAGTCACAGAGAGCTGTCAGCCCCCGGGGTTGTTTCTATACATGCACATAATCAAAATAAGTATTTCAAGTATCCTATAGAAACAAGTAAAGACAGGGCTGAGATCAGTGTCCACCAACCCGCTTGTCCGTTTCAGCACCCTGGACAGCGCGTTCACGCTGACGCATGGCGCGCAGCACAAGCTAGGGAAAGCTCCATGTAATCCTGCGTCAGATTTTACAAATAGGACCATAAAGTTTCAGCAATACCTACAGAAAAATTCATCTGCTTTGACTGGCTGGAGAGTTGTTCTCGTTTACTTTAGTAGTAGGTGTACTACATCTGAAATAGATTGATAGTTTAGCCCAGTGATGCGCTACATTATACTAGGCTATAATTAGATTTTGCAATAAAACAGAACATAACCCTAATTTGTGGAGAGAGAGTAAAGGAGGGGGGTGCAGACAAGAACCAGTTGAATATTTCCTACCATAATTCGCCTTTCAAGAACTGTGTAGAACGCGCGGCAGACCAGCTTTCGGTGGATCCTTGTTGGTAGTATCCCAGAAAACATTAGTGCTGCTGAACAGGACGCTGCACGGGGTCTAGTCTTTGCGTCTCGGTTTAACGGAGATGAACTTGTCTCTGTCTTAAAGAATCGCCTTAGTGCAATCTCATTTAGACAGCGGAGAACCCTATTATTAGTCCCCTGCGTGTTGAAATCGACATAGGCAGCGTTTAATCACTGCAGCGCAGGATTTAGGCTGCAAAGTAGGCTGGTTTTTATGCCTCCTCAAATAATTTGTTTCCTTTATTGATGCCAACTTTATGATAGCAACGCATAGCCTTACGTTTAATTTTAAAGTACGCTTTTAAAACGTGTGTCTACGGCAGATTTTAATTCACAGCTGTTTAATTGGGCTAAACCGATTAGATATTTCCCCTCAGATTGAGACAGGTGATTGATGTTTAAGAGTTATTCAGTCTTATTAGAAATTGATATTGGCTTAATCAGAAAAGGCCTAAAGTGTATTTTTAAATGCTGTGTTAGGCTGCGTAAAGGTTTCAGGTGACAGACACAATCGGACTGGTCGCTAAAAATACTAAAGTTTGTCCCCATCTATCACATGTTGTCTTCGACTGGTTCAATGTTTGGCTTACTGTTTTGTTGTATTTTGTGCGTTTATGAATATTATACAACCTGGAAATTGAGTCTGTCGCTGCAGAGACAAATTGCTCAAACACAGAAAAACAATGCCAGAATTTGTGTGGTGACTGAAACAATACATTTCTCCTATAAAGTTTATGAGACTGTTTCCCGGCGCGATGTTCGGAGGTATCCCTGTTTAATCCTCTTACTCTTACAGTAAAACAAAACCGCTTAATCTGCACTGATGACAAAGTAAAAGCTTATTCATCAAGATAAATGACCCCCCGTCCCCGTCACACTCAAGCACGCATTGCACGACAAAACACTTAAAATAAGGAGAAAAACACCATTAGTCCTGCTGGAAGCAATGGGTTTTTCTTTTTAAGTTCTCACCTCATTGTTCAGCAGTTTTTCTTCAACGCCAATGTTCATGGAATCAAAAGATCTTCCTCTACGTGGTCCTTCTGTTTTATTTGAGTACATATTGAATGCTGCCTTTTTCCTTGTAACAGGTTCGATTATAATCTCCACTGTGTAAAGTGGCTTGTCTACCCCGAGAATCAGCGCTCTTTGCTATTTAACCACGGGGAGAAATAGGAGGGGACATCAATCTCACCCACAGGAGCAAATGGAAAAAGAGCAGCTCTGCTCACGTCATGAGGAGAAAGGCTCTTTTATTTCACCTACAGGCCTGAAACATCACCAGGAAAAAACTGGATATTTTGTTATGTTAGGCTCATTTAACCCTATGCATTTTAAAACCAAATATGGAAAATACGTGTACGAAACTCAATTCAGCATCTGTAAATACTGATATTGTGTTGTAACACATTTGCTTTGGATAATAATTCACTATGGACTCAAACCTGCTCATGGTGGCATTTAATAGTCAGTTCTTGTTTCTTTACACCTTGAGACTAAGAAGAGGTAAAGGGTTAAGAGGATTCAAAATCCATCCCTCTGCACTGTAAGCAAGTCTGGGTTCTTGTGCACGTACTGCAGCAGAAGTAATCTGCATGTTCGCCTTACTTTAACCTCATTACTGTACTTTCAACAGATAACACCACTGCTGCAATCACCAAATAGGGCAGATGAGATGCCTTTGTGTCATTACATTTAGCTCTTCTGTTACAAGCAGCTGAGGCACATGCTGTTTGTCTCAGGTTGTCCTGGCCTGTGTCACTGGTGACATGAGCAGATGCTTTATGCAACTGAGGAGGCAGTGAAGAGAACTTCCTCTTCTCTGTTAGATGGAGCTTAGTAAGGTCAGCCCCTCATTATTCAGGCATAATGAGGAATTTAAAGGTACAATTCACTACTAATAATGTGGGCATTCAGTCTGTTCTGGTGGTTAGCATGGTCCATTAAACCATGTCTGGCAGCATTTATACTGGTAGAGGAATCAGCGTTCTCCTGCACAGTGTGTCACTCCACTGGTGACTACATGTGCCAGAATGCATTTCTCATCAGCCTGCAGCTACAGAAACTCCACCCCTCAAGATCAGCAAAGCACCAGTGGCCATGTTTACCTGACTACTGTTAGCTTAAGTTCCTTATCAGTCCACCTATAAAAGGCAAGCACTTCTTCTTAAATGCACAAACACAATCAATATACATTGCCTGCACAACAAATGTACGCCCTTATGTTAGAGGTAGAAGCTAGTGTTAATCACATTTAGCAATAATAACTACAGCAAACAAATAATATATTACCCCAAAGCTGATCATAGAAAGACATAGCCTGAGTTACAAAAACTTTCTGTAATCAGCATTGTGTTTCTGATGTCCTTACAAAAGAAATTTGAGATGAATCAGGGATTAATCATGAATGTGCAGGGAGTAAACAATGAGTCAATTAATTGATTAGTTGATAAACAAAAAAACTACTTAAACTATTAATAAGATAAATCTAGCAGGCAAAGACATCACCACTCTGGGAAAATATGACAGTCATCTTTTGCTTTTCTAACATTTTAAAGACTAAATGATCTTTATATTAATCATAAAACTTTATACATACATCATATTGCCATCTACCTGTACAGAGTAAACTTGGCTAGCTTCAAAATGTTGTTTCTACCTGTGATAGGGGAACAAAATCACACTTCTATCAGTCAAATTGTTTCTACAGTATATTTCTGTAAATCAGAACTATGCTGCTGCTGCCGCCTTGCAACACAAAGAACATTGTGGAACTTTTAACTAACATAAAGAAAAGGCTTGCTATTTCCCCATAGAATAGGTGTCCTGTTTCTTTAGGGAGAGAAATAGATAGAGGAAAGAAAAGGCAGGGAAATGACTAAACTGAATGATATTGTTCAGGGTTCAGTAATGAGCTGCTCCTTTAATGAAGCCCAAGCACTGAGTAGAATGAAGCGCATCCAAATGAACTTACATTCTGCAGATGCTCTGGTCATGTCTTTGATCTCCTCAAGTCTTGACATCCCCTGGATGAGATCTCCCTTATTTAATGTGACAGGTTCTGTCAGAGGCTCATTAGATTTCATATTGCATCCAGTTTACAAATTATGTATTTGATCTATGTGAGGGGTTTTCAGCAGTGATCACAAATAAACTAACTCTGCTATTATGTTATAACAGAATTAAAGTATGTTTAAAGAGCACACTAAGTACCAATGTGGTGTATACGTAGCTCGTACCATATCTGATCTGCCATTCAGAAGCAAGTGCTTCAACAAGAGTAGGAATGCAGTATGAATAAGATGGTGCACAGTGGTTCGGTCTCCTGGTGACCCAGCTACCACACATGGATAGTGGTCTCGTGATAATTAGCTTCAGGGATGAGACAAAAAAGTAAGCCATTACTAAAGATTTTAGGTCATTCTCAACCTCAGTAGTCTACAAGTATCTACAACAATAATACTCTGTCACAATAAATTGTACAAACTGTGCATAATATACTTTGTAAACCACAACTTCTTATTCTTTCTGATTACTCTGTGGAGGTTTGTATAGAAGAGATACTGTGTTAGTGCTGAGTGAAGCTGTCCCAATTCTGTTCACTCCAATCAGAGGGATTTACTCAGTGTCTGAGCGTAAAGCTGCAAAAGATCTCTCTGGCTAATCTCAGCCTAAGGCACTGAGAAACTGTTGAACAAGAACATTAGAATGTATTAGAACATGAACCTGCACCATATCTCACTAGGCATATACTAATAATACTAATATACCTCATATCAATTATCTCATTCTGCACAGAGAGGTCAGAGGTCACAGTGTCTGTCAAAAGTCTAATAGTTTATAAATCTAGGTCTAATGTAATTAATTATGTTCACACTTGTTACTTAAATCTTCAACTTGTTTTTTTAATTAAGTAATTTTACTTTAATTTTATGTAACAAAGGTAGCAGTTACACATCCTCGTGTACGTGTTACAGCAGCACAGATTACAAAAACAGGGAAAATATTAACAAATAAATCTAAATGAAAAAAACAACAACAACTTGACCAGTACTTCTTTTACTAGTGTGATGATCTGGGTTGGATCTTCCTATGCAAAACATTTAAATTGGTACAGTAGATTACTTGGAGAAAACCAGAAAAATAAAGTTTAAAAAATCCTTAACTTTAGCCTTGTAACTTCGCTTTATTTCTTGACATTCAATCCATCATTTATTTGAAATTGTTCACATATTCTTTTAAAATATATGGGAGAACAAATAATATTCAAAATGATGTCCCTTTTTTGTTTTCTGTTTTGTATTACTTCTGCAGGATGTTATAACACTAGTGTTATTTGAATTTCCAGGGAATTCGAGGTCTTCTAATAAGACCTCATCAATAAAATTCCAGTCTTTCACCTGATCTTCAGTCAACTAACTAATCAGAGCAGTGAATGGTCTGCTTACATACACTTCCTGTGACAGGACTACATCTCTCTAATTAGCTCCAATTCTTTCGTTGCAGAACAAACAGCAACATATGCCACTTGGTGACAGGCGTTAGTGTACATAAGAACAGGACAGGTGAGACCTTGGCCCATAAACACCTGCTGCATTCAAAATAGAAACGCCATATGTGATGCCAAAAAATTATAGTGATTAAAAAGGGAAGGCATCGTGTAAATTATCTGGAAATGTTTGTGAATAGGTTTTGATGATTTTTTTAGCTTATCTGATCACGTAAGGATGATCCTGTTTTTGTTTGTTCAATATCGTAACTTAGATGAAGATCTGCCAATATTTAAGACAGGTTTATACACAAATACAAGCGCTGTCATTCCAAAAGGTTCACTTACTTTTTCTTGCCAATGTAAACCCAGCAGGGCTTCAAGATCTGGTGTGGGTATAGAACCTCAGTCAGGACCAAATGGGGCGAAGCTGCTTTCAGCTACTATGGGGCAAACAAATGGAAACAACCTCCTGATTGATTGGTTTCCTTTCTCACTTTAATTTACTTTGTTGCATTTGGGGTAACTTGTGCAGTTTATTGATAATTGTCTGTGTTTGAAATATGTGATAAAGCTATGTTGGTTTGTTTGTTTTGACTAAACCTTTTTATTGTTAGTGTATAGACAAAAAATGTATTTCTTTAATCCACATTTTTGTTTCTTTTAGGTTGTTCAGCCTGCCCTTTAGAACCCACAGTGATCATCATGTACAATTTTTCTACCTCTGCATAAGTTTGTGTGGGTGATGATGTCAACGCACTGTCACTGACAAAGGCCACACACTATATAGCTGTATACTGGTTTATCATTACAATATCATAACAGATAAGCTAGTTGAAGCAGCAGAGCAGGCAGTAAGGGAAACACAAATATCAACGTCACCACATCAGTTTTTGTGAGCAGGAAACGTCAGCGTCTTTGATATTTGGGATCACGAAGGGGAAAGTTTCATTGTGGCTCTGTTGACAAGAGATAGAAAGCCAGGGAACTCAGGAAATGAGCTGAAGGGGGCTTTGATTGCACCCAATAGCATCATGTGTCTTTATTAACATGCCTTGACCAGGTGGTTGTGAATGAGCCGGGCCTTGGAATCAAAGGAGAGGGAACATGACGCTGCACACACATTCTTCATCCCTTCATTATCCCTCGTGCTCACCCAGCAACAAGGACTACACTGTGCTGGGGACATTTTACACACTGAGATGTTTAATTCAGATGACCCAGCCTTGACAAAATTCTACAATTTACATACATTCATTTTTTTATTGTTCTGAACAGATCTAATTCTCAGGGCATAACATGCCAATACTTTTAGAAAAGTCCATGAAAACTGCTCTCCGTGTTGAATGACAGGCTGCCTTCCATCATGAGAGGGCAGTTCAATTCAGTGCCCAAATCCCTTTCACTGAACTGCCCACAAGTGGGTCTTTTCATCATACTTGGTCATGGGTTAAATTTCTTATCACCTTCATGGGTATCATGTGGAAGGTAGTGTTATGTGGACTTTAATCTGGTGTGAATTTGTCCACAAATGTTAAACAAAAATATAACACCTTTGGAAAAATATAAAGTCGCTTAAAAGAAGTGAACAAAAAAAAAAGATGACTTAGATCCAGAATCAGACGGGCTTGACATATCTCAGTGATGCATGGTGTTCTGTGTTCATGGAGTCAGATCATATCAAGCTGCTGTGATGACTGGCAGACTGACAATGAAGTTTGGCGGTGCAGCAGGAAACATCTGGGCTTCACCCTGATGTGTGTGACATGACCTGCCCAGGAGCGAGGCCTGAAGAAACACAGCAGACTGCTATGTAGTCATCACTGGCCACGAGCAATCTCAAAAAGCCAAGCATGATTACAGTACATCTACATCACTCTAACACAAACAGGACGTGAGTTGCAGATCAAGGCACCGGTCACCTATGTGCATCAGTCAAGTCTGGTCAAGGTTCAGATTGTTTATAGAAATAGAATTAAAATGACAGCCCAGTCCACCCCAACCCACCCCCCATAGAGGCATCCGTGTTTCGCACACACTCTGACCACCTTTTTTTTAAGAGTGTTCTACATATCAATCCAAGCTTTAATTAAAAAGCTGCTATATTCAGAGAGCCTTCGTAAGCTTACTGGAAATGCGTAGGTTGTGCTGCTCTTCTCCATGAGTGGGCGAAATGCTGCATTTGGGAACCAAATGAGTTCATTGTTGCCACGCTGAAGCCTTTCATCTAATTTTACTGTCCTTACCAAGTGACTGTCACCCTCTGGTAAACACTTGATGTTGTCATCAGCATTACCATCATTACACATATGCTTGGAAAGGTGACTCAATACCCGTGGCGGGCCGTGCATTTGGTACCTGGGCCTTCAGTGGAGACTTACCAGACTTAATTCACCTCTTAATACCACCACTGTACGTCGCAATTATAGAAACCATCAATGCTATACAAAAATGCAATATAATAAAGTGTGGCATTACAGAGAGAAGGGTTGCCCCTGTCACTGCGTTCATCCGAATCTGTTGGTGGTTTTAAGAAGCAACTGAAGACACATTTTTTTAGTCAGGCTTTTAGTCGATTTGATAGTTAGGTTTTATTTTATTTTTATCATAGTTTTATATATTATCTGTTGGTGTTGTTGGCATATTGTTGTTTTGTTTGTTTTGTGATCTGCATTGCTGACTTTGTGATTTTATCTGTGAAGGTGCTATATAAATAAATCTTACTTACTTACTTAGCTGAAACAAAGCAGACACTCACCTTAGGTCTGGGGGCAGGGCATAGAGTCTTTCCTGCTTCTCCATGCCTGGAATCGAAGTTAGTTTATCAATTATGAGTATTCTGAGTTCCTCAGGCTAAAACATCTCTTCAAAACATCTGCTAAGTGCAAATCCAAAGACTATATATGCTGGTTAACTGGTTAAGTAAATTATTCTTATGATCCACCTTTAAATTACTATGTGAACCATTAATCTCCCAAAAAATTACTGATTTCTATTCTAATGATCCAAAAGCAGAATGGAATGAAGTGTCCTTTTTTTATTCATGGTTTTAAATTATTGGACATGAAATATCAATGTAACAGTTTGTTTATTTAAACATTTTTTTCTTAGTGTCACCCAAGCGGCTGTTTGATTGATCTGTGCCTACAAATGGGAGTCATCATGTTCTTCAAACAAATCTGGAACAACTTCATGGAGCTTGGTTATCCGTAAGTGAAGGAGCTTGGTTATCCGCAAGTGATATGTTATTATAAGCAGGCAAACCATTAGAAATGCCATGTGTAGTTTTTTTTTTTTGTTTTAGTTCTACCTCATTGGCCAATGAAAAAGGCGTTTCTCCTGCAGAAACGCATTAAATCCTTTGTGGGACTTAGTAAAAGGGTTTCTGCAGTGCTCACTCCATTGTCAGAAATAATTGCTTTGAGCTGACAGTCATTTGCTACATTTTCAGTTTGCTGCAGAACTGGTGGTCTCGTAGGAAGATGAAGAAAGGAGGTGGTGGAGGGCAGAATGTAGAGAATAAAACCCAACTTCCTCAGTGGGATAAAGACTGGAATCTGCAGCCCATGAACGCCCATGGACTGGTGGATGAATACCTTGAAATGGGTAAAATATTACAGTCCTTTAAAGTATTGTGTTTGACTTTGTCCAAGGGAAACAGGAATCCATGAAAATTGAGGCTATTGCTCAATCTTTAACACTGTTTTGCCAGTGTTGAGATGGACATCCTCTGAAGTTCATCCAAATGTTTCTTTCCTCTCCAGTTCTGCAGTTTGGCTTCACCACCATCTTTGTAGCAGCATTCCCGCTGGCTCCTCTCCTGGCTCTGCTTAACAACATCATTGAGATTCGTCTTGACGCCTACAAGTTTGTAACTCAGTGGAGGAGACCCATGCCTGCCCGAGCCACTGACATAGGTCAGTGTGATCTTTGGCTACCCTCGCACTTCACTTCCTCAGTATTTCTCACATTATTTTTAGAGCTGAGCCACTTTCCTACAGTAAAACATTGTAGGAACCAAATATTTTTCATCCAATGGTGCCAGATATGTTTCCATTTCCTTTGCTTCTATGCTGCCATATGCTGCACCTCCCCTGCCAGCAATCCACCTCCCCATGTGATTGCATAACCACCCTCCAACTGCCATATTATATACAACCAAATGTTTCTCATGGCATGCTGTCCTCTAATAAAAAGAAGAATCCACCCTGAAACATTTAGAAATTCCTCAGATGTAATGAGCACATTACGTGCAATTTGCACACAAAGAACAAAGCTTCTTTGTGGCTTTAAGCTGACATGTACTAGTCGTTCAAAGACACATCTAAAGCAGAAAAGGCAGAAAGAGATGGCTTTTCTCCACGATCAGCAGCCTTATACACTTTACTGTAATGCCACCAATAAACATGCTGTATTTTGAGTAGCACAGTTCACAAACTATTTGGTTTCAGAGCTCTGCATATATAGAGAAAAACGTTGTTCTTGCCCCATCCTTCGAGGCAGTCGAATCTCATTCTGGTTTTTGTTATTAACTGAAGAGAAACAACTAAACCACAGTCAAGGAAAGGGAACATATGAAGACAGTTACATTAGAAGACAGGAACTCACAAATGATGAATCATACATTATTAGGGGTATGAAAATAGATTTTTTTTTCCCAGCTGTCATTCATAAACCCAATAAAAGGCTTAGTGCCACACATTTTTATGTGCTGTAGATAAAAGCATGCATTTTAAAAATCACCATACAAATGACATCTTTCTTTGTGAAGGCATTGAAAAAATGTGTCTTCTCCTCTGCTTTGGCTGTTAGGTATCTGGCATGGGATTCTTGAAGGTATCGGAGTGCTGGCAGTCATCACGAATGCCTTCGTGATTGCTATCACCTCAGACTACATCCCCCGCTTTGTTTATGCCTTTAAATATGGCCCATGTGTGGACAAGGGGCACCACCACGAGGATGAGTAAGCATTCCAAGTAATGTGTAAACAGAGAATACATCCAGAAGAGTGGCTTCTGCTGTGGTCTGATAGCTTCACCCTTTGCCTTCAGGTGTTTGCAAGGCTACATGAACAGCAGCCTGTCTGTGTTTGATATGAGCGAGCTCAAGAACAGCAGCCAGCCCAGATACTGCAGGTACAGAGACTATAGAGCACCGCCCTGGAGCCCAGTGCCATATGAATTCACCCTGCAATTCTGGCATGTCTTGGCTGCCAGGCTGGCCTTCATCATTGTCTTTGAGGTCTGTCAGCACTCCCCATTTCTTCTTTGTCAGTTTACCACTGAAGCAAGCAGCTAAAACTAAATCCCCTTATGTCTCCTCAAGCCTGTTTAACTGCAGAATTTTTTATTCTATTAGTTTTGGTGCCATCAGTGTTAAATGTAAACCTCACAGGCCCAATTTATGTGATTTGATTGCTTTAACTGAATCTTACTGCTGCACTAGGTTGACAAATTCCACTAAAACAAATAGAATATATCCTAAATCACCTGGTGGTCCAGCTTAAAAAAGGCATGTTTCTTGTTGTAGCTGCCAAGATTTTCCTCTGACAATGATGTCTTGTCAACTGATTTCTCCAGTGACACAAACTGGCACAGTATACATTTATAAAACATTATAGGGTATAAATTTTTTTTAAATTTGTTTACCTTTGCATGCTCAGTGAAATGTTTGTGTAAGGTAACTCATAAACGCTTAATGCTTCCCTCAGCACCTGGTGTTTGGGATCAAGTCCTTCATAGCATATCTCATACCGGACATGCCCAAGGATCTGTGCGATCGTATGAGGAGGGAAAAGTACCTGATGCAGGAGATGATGTATGAAGCAGAACTGGAGCATCTGCAGGAGAGAAAGAAAAACGGAGGGGGTTATCACCACGAGTGGCCTTAGGTTTACCCCCACGTCTCCACCACATGCTGCGCAGCCCTCACTCAACTCATTTATGCATTTTAGCTTTGAGAATCCAGCTTCACTCAGCTGATTCTGTACACCAAAGACACCCTTTTCAGTGGCCAGATCCCTCCCCAGACCTATTTGGCCCGTGCTCCGCCCTGACCGCTCCCTCGCCATCTGTCGCACATCAAGTGTTGGCACTGCGCTTGGTTTCTCTCATCACCAAGCTCCATTCAGTAGGTCGCCCTTGGGCCTCTGCTGTGTCATGGCTTCACTAGAAAAACCTGTGCAATTGTAAAGTTTACTATGCAGATCAAGGGTTGCAAATCACCACTGTTCACTTCTAGCACCCATCCTGTTCTCTCTCTGTGTGGCAGCTACTCTGCTTTGACTCCGCAGTCTGGTGCAGCTCACAGCATGGCCGTGTTTCTGTCCTGTGAGCCTCTACAGAACCATTCTTCTGCCAGTTACGTGACACAGCTACTGTGGCACTTAGCGTTTTCTTGTTGCAAAAGTGCTTCTGGTGATGTGGTTATCAAATAAAATGGACAGTGTTTTTGCAAAGCAACTGTACATTGCCCTTGAAGCATGCTGGTTAATATTTGCGGCCATTGTGTAAACTGCAAGGAAAAAACAAAAATAAAAATAACAGCACTTATTGTGGAGGAAGTTATCATCCATTCAGTAGATTTGATTAAGAATTCTCTATGAAATCATAAAGTGCATGGTAATATTGTTTTTTTTTACCTTTTGATATACAAAGTTTCCATCTTGATGCCTGGTTCAGGTGTGTTTGTTCTCAGTGTGTCTGTGTTACTGCTGAGCTTGACTGTCTTGAGGTGAGGAAATGGGAACTTTGCGATTTGATTGTGCCTACAGTTGTGTCACCAACGTCACATGTGCTTGTTTGTGTTGCACGTCAAGGCAGTTTTTATTTGTACAGTGCCAATACCACAGATTTGCCTCAAGGGGTTTTAGATACTGTATGTGCATTTTTCAAGTTCAAGAAATATTCTCTCTCCTTGGTCTGTTGTCTGATCTGCTGTAAACTCTCCTGCCTACCTGTTCTCGTCTCAGCTAATGGCTCTGAAACATGTCAGCGGTGTACTTACTGTACATGTAATGTGACTCCCATCAATATATACTCGCATGCCAGAGCTGCAATTCTCCTCTTCCGCTTTGCACTCGCAGCCTGTTCTTCATTTGTTGTTGGAAGCCCTGAAGTGGGCTTGAAACTTGGATCACTTCGACTTGTGGCTTGGAGGCTGAGCTTAAAAAGAACTACTATCCACTGTTCCTCACTCACAAAGTACACTAACTTACTTCAGTTCTAGTTTTTTATTAAGCACATTGTTAGAGCCAATCCCGGCTGGCAATCGGGCAAAGGTGGGGTTTGCCCCACATTATTTACAATAAATTTGAAAGAAAAGAATATCACTGCCCTGAATGCATTGCACTGAGACACATTAATCTTTCTACAAGGCTAGACCATTATTTAGATTTTATTTATTTAACTGCTCTTTTTATGTTTTATGATGTATGTAATGTTTTTATGATACCAGCTACCAGTATGAGTTCACCTGTTTTCACCCAAAGTAACGTCCACATTTCTCAGGTGTCCTCTGAATGTTTGCACATAATCAACTTTTGGTCATTTTCTAAGCTGTAATCAAAGGTATCCTGCATTTTTAGAAATATATTTTTGCACTGCAGTGCATGACAATAATACAAACACCATTAAACGCATGTTTGATTTTCTTTTTTGTTTATCAAAGTGCGTAAGTAAGA